CCTAGGAATGCAGGGATCTGGAGCTGATGGACCACACAGGGCCCCTGTGATGGACCAGCAGTCCTAGGGTCCTAACCTGCTTTCTCCACAGAAATGCCACAAAAGTGTTCCTAAGAAAAAGTTCTGATGAATATCCAGACTCCAAACAATTTTGGAAAAAGATTTCAAATCTGTTACAATGTCCCATTTAATCATTTTTGGTTCTTTTATGTTGAGATCAACAAGAAACACTTCAATTGACCAGAATTACACCTGGGGAGGGGGGATTTTCATTGTATGAAAATTTAGATTTTTCAACCTGATTTAGGATGGGAACAAGTTTCAGTGTTTTGAAATTTTTTCTGGGATGATTAAAACTTTCCTGAGCAGAGAGAGGTAGGTAGCTGTCTTCATAAGAAGTGAGGCAGAAGGCAGGGTAGATTTACACCTTGTAGATTAACTAAATCAGAGGTGTATAGCATAAGCTTTCATGAGTCTGAGCTCTGATGAAGTGAGTTTGGGCTCACATAAGCTTATGCAATACATCTCTGATGTAGTTAGTCTGTAAGGTGCAAAACTTTCTGATCCAGTTCTGGAGGCAAGAGCATTTGGAGGGCCTTGGGCTGGATCCTACATACACTCAAGTTAGTTGAAGTTTTCGAGAGACTTTGAGGGCACCAATATGTGACTATTTCAACTCAAAAATTCTCTTCTCTGTGATGCAGAAATGACAATGAAGTTACTTTCTGCTTGGAGACAGACTGCTCTGCATAGCTTACTTCTCAGGGGGCATTGTGCAGAAAAGGAAAAACATGGGGACTTCAGCAACCCCTTGATTCATGAAGCATAAATATGTGATCAACACCGTGTTTCAGTTGCATGGCAGTACTGTGTATACGTTCTGTGGGTACATGGCTCCACATAACTACATACTCATCACGTAGAACTCCTATAGAAGCTAAGTAATTAGTCATTGTATGTGTTGGGATTGCCCTGGAGCTTCCACTGTTCTTTAAATGGCTGACACAGCTCTTCTCCAACTTAAAGCTGTTTAAGGAAAGACGTTGAATCAGATCCCTAGGATGTATCCAGCATTAAATTCTATGGCACTTCCCCAAGATGGCTTTAAAGGAGTATATTATGTCTGGTTCTTTCCCAGGTCACCAGAAACTGGGAATGGGAAACTGCAATAGAGGGACAAAAGACAGAGAAATGTGTCCATGAAGGGACCAAACAAACCTCTGAGAAGGTTCAAATCTGGATTTATATGTGACAAATGAATCACTCACTTTCTTTCACAGGACAAATCTCAGATCTGAGAGCCAAACATCTGTGGGAAATTCCAGTGCTAAATCTTCACAGGTTTGTCTCTAGCTTGTTTATATCCCAGAATGGGAGTCAGCAACCTTTTGCTGGCATGGGCCAGAGCTTGTGACCCAGCTGTCGTGGACTGCAAGTCTCTGCGCCCCTCCCCAATGGTCAGCTGCCTGCACACGACACACAGATGTTCACATATGGCCTCGCTGAAGATTTCCAGCCCTTTGCAGTGATGATACACCGAGAGGCAGCGCAGCAGCAGGATCTGCAATGGAGGAGAGCACTGCGGGGGGCGGGATGGAGGCAGGGGGGTAGCAGTCTGGTGCTCCTCCATGTCACGGATCCCCCCCTCATGCCAGATCAGATTGCCATGGGCTGGATCTGGCCCATGGGTCATACATTACTAACCCCTGTCCTATCAGGTTAAACGCTGAATCTGCACAATCACAGCAAAATACCTACAGGGTATTTACAGCCAGTGTAAATCCATATGGAACCATTGCCCTGACCAGCTCACACCAGGTGATATACACCCTCACACCCTCTCTGAGCCCACGTCTAGGCAGAAGGGCTAAGAAGGAAGTCTTGGCTATTGGAAGCCTGTTCCAAAAGCTGGCATAGCTGGACCCCATGACACGATGAGTCAGTACAGTGACCTGCTATTGAACCTTGTTACTGATCAAGGAGGTGTGAACAAAGAGCCAATACATCATTGACTAAGTGCCACTAGCTCTGCAGTCTGCAGGTCTCAAGTGCTGAGGAAACAAGCCTGCATATCCCTTGCAGAGCTCCCCCTGAGCACTGCCCTCCATCCAGGGAGCATGCTGTGAAATGGATTTTAATGATTACAGCTGGCAAGTGGTAATGCTAAGGTCCTAGCTGTTGGCAACCAGGTCTCTGCCTTCCCAACTGACAGGAAACATCACTGAGATCTCTTAGAGTCAGAGATAACAAAAACAGTTCCCATTTAGCTGTTGCTGGTTTAACATCAGCAGGAGAGGGTGGTTGTCTGCACAGTAAGGTCCCCGACTGATTTCAGCATCTTGCCATACACAGCTCCTGGGTCCCCACAGAGAAGCCTTGCTCAGTTCTGTTATCCGCAGGGTGGAGATCTTAGTGGTCACCTCTCAGGAGTCATGCATCCGAGCTTCCAGGCTATCCTTGTCAGGAGGCCCACTCTAGCTGGCTATGCAAGTGCCCTAGCCCGGCACAGCTAAGCCCTTCTTTCCTGCTGCTGAGTTTGGGGAACGAGAGGCAAAAGGGGATCCAGAATGCTCTTTTAGCGTATAAGTACTTCCCAGCAGGGCTGATGTCTGACCCCAGGGCATAAATGCATCCACACAGCCTTCTCCTCATTGGTGGGTACAAGGGGTTGGAGCCATTTTCATCCTGCCTGGCATTTGGTCTTGCTCCAGTCCATTGTTAACCCAGCTACATTGGAAAGGGGCTTCTCTCCACAAGACAGAAAGGCAGAGAGTGAGGCCAGAAGTAGAGGGGTTATACACTGGGAAGGGGAGAAGAAGGGCGGGTGAGAGAGACAAGTATGCATACGTGTGTTTGTACATACGCATGTGCATGCATGTGGTACATGTGTGCATGTATGTGCAGACACAGGCCCCAGAAAGCCCTTCCTAGCTTCTAGCTCTTGACTTAACCAATGAGGGAAAAAATACTATCAAAGCAAAATATAGCATTCACACCTTTCCTTGCACTTGGCTCTGTCAAAGATCAGGGCTAGGTGATCTCTGTTCCTGTTTGCATCTCCTGTACCTTGGTGAACACACTGAAGTTGGCACAGAATGTGACTTCAGCAAGTGCCAGGCTGGTGCCCATCAAGAAAGCCCCTTTGCCAAGCTGCTGTCACCAGTGTTGTTAGCACGGTGTACGAGGAAACCTATTGGGGCAGATGCTGTTAATCCTCCAGCTGATGACAGCGCTGGCCCCTGCCCCTCCTCTGCCCACATCAACACATCATGTGGCGCCTGCTTTTAGACAGCAGTGCTTGAGCTCCAGGCTGCTGGGAGATCCTGGGGCCGACACATCTCGCTCTGGGGGAGCAGCGACTGTTATGTGCTACTTTCTTTTGTGCAGGCGCCTCTGGGACTAAAGCAGTCGGATATGTCATGGGGGTGGCAGGAACTGTGTATTTATTTACATAGGTCTGTGTGGAGCCTGTTCCCATAGCATCTGGGTGCTGCAACAATGAAAATGGACATAAAATAGTCTCCAGCCGAGACAACTGGTTTAAATTATTGAGAACCATCCTCATTATCACTTTCCTCCTCCCAGCAGAGATCCCAAAGCGCTTTGAAAACCTCAGCCAATCAATCCTTACAGTAAGCCTGAGAGACAAGTACACTAAGGTGGAGCCAAACATGCCCCAGTGCAATGGCTTTCCATCAGGAAGGGCCAATTCACTGAAAGCAAAGCATTCTGGGGAAAAGGGCCAATTTGGATTTTTTTTTTGAATGAAGTAGAGTGTTCCAATATGGATTCTCTGCCTCACCCTTTCTAGAAGGGAACATCACAATTTTTTTCCTTCAAAATGACTTTTCATTCCACTTTTTATATGTTCACTGTTTGCGCACATTTACATTATGCCTCATTACATTATAGTAGATAGACAGTTATAGTGAAATATTAAAAAAAAAAAAGTAAGTCATTTTGAAGCAGAAAATTCTCATGTTGCATTCCAGAAAAGTTGGAACAGTCCTTATTAGAATGCTTTGTTATAATATAATATAATATAATATAATATAATATTTAAAAGCTTGGAATTGGAACAAAACATTACAATTTTATCAAAACAAAACCCTTCCCTTGACCTAAAACAAGGTTTTATTCAGAATTTTGTTTCAGGAGAATGTTGAAATCTGTTGTTCTGTTACAAAGGGAAAAAACATTGGAAAACAAAAGAGCTGGTTCCATTAAGGCTCCCACCCTGCACTGCGAGTGTATCTTTGTGCCTGACCAGAGACATACGTGTGTTATGAGACTGGACCCTACCCTAGTTATAGAGAGAGGCATGGAAAGACAGACAGCTAGTAAAGGGACACTGTCAACATAAAAACCTTTCTTGAGTGTGTGAAGTCCTTATTCTGTCAGCAATTCCCCCTTTGATTACTCCAAGCAAATAGTTTTAACATTGAAATTACTTTTTATCCTTTTCCTCCTCAATTGACATGAGACAAGCTTCACAGTATGATTACACCGTCTTCATTCTCTGATTTGTATGCCTAGCAACACACTGTTTGGGTTTACAATGATGCAGAAGGTGGTTTAATTCCAAAACCAGAGAGAGATTTCTGTTCGCATCTTGTTGCCCCACACACGCACGCATGCACGCACATGCACACTTTTTATAAATGTTCACCTCAACTAAGTTGACAGTGTCCCTTTAAGTCTGGTGAATTGGCAGTGAGGTACCCAGACGTTAAATTCAGAATTTCATCCCAGTGATAGAGGATAAGTAAAAGCACGCTAAGCTTCAGGCCATGAGAAGGAAAAACTTGATACATTTGCAGCAGCACAGCCATCTTTACTATGGACCACAGGAGTTCAAAAAATAACCTTAGTTAACAAGAGACCTAGTCGTTAACAAAACATCATGCTATTGGACATACAAGAGAGGCCAATCACAATCACCAGAACAAAACAGCAATCAAGAAAGGAAAGGAAACTGAAGAGC